AACAGAGGTAGATAGATGAAGGCAGCTGAGAGAGACATTGAGAGAAGACAGGCTTTACTCAGAAGGCAGATTTAGGTCCCTTGAGGGAAGCTCGTGCATGCCCCCTTTAGGGAATCTTAGGAGCCAAACTGAGAGGGAACCATGTGACCCAGAGAAGCTCCTTGGCTAAGCCTCTTGCAACTCATTGGAGGAGACTCTATTTTGTTGGCCTAGGTGTTGAAGTGGGAGGTGAGAATCCTTTCCGTTGAACATGGAAGACTAGACATGAGTCAATTTCTACTATTCTCAGGGGAACAGACCCTTCTTCCCCATGAATCTAGTTCCTGTAAACCCAAAGTTTTGGTTCTGGGTCACAGATCTGCATTTGACTCAATTAACCACAAAATGAGTAGCTACGTTCCACATAGAGAATAATTTCCAAGCATTATAGAATGTACATTATGAAACACAATATTAAAAAGTGTCCCTTGTTATACACAAATGTATTCACCCTGGGTGGTTGCCCATTTTCCTATCCCTAGTCCCATCTCTGAATGGGAGGCTAGGAGAGTGAAAGAGTGGCATAGGCACAGGTAAGAGTTCATGGTGGCATTGTACATTTTTTCAGACCCAACAGGATTTTTTTTTTGGCTCTGGTAAGACATTGGCTAACCACAATATTTTGGGTAGTCATTTCAAGTCTGCAGAGGAAATTATTTTGGAATTTCCCTCAAAGTTGAGATTTTTTTTCTAGCACATTGATTCACTAATTATATCTGCAGTGAATTCTTGATACACAGAAGTTTTTTAAGTAGCTCTCACTGCTTTGTTGTTGATAAATCTGGCACTTCCTGGACACCATTGATGTGCCAAGGATTATGCATAGCTGGCCATACCTACCTTCTAGTCACAGTAAAATAATTGTCGATTCTCCAAAACCAATAGAAAAAGACTATTTGAATTTTGATCAGTCTTCTCTGAACTGAACTAAAGTACTTAATCCCTAATATTTTAGTTTTCTAATAAAAATGAATAAATTGCGTGAATAATCATAGCTAATAGTATTTACATAGTGCTTTAAAATTTGCTGAGTGCTTTACAAATATTCTTTCATTTAATCCTTACAAACACATTGGAGAGGTTGATGCCATTATTATGTCTCTTTTATGATGAAGAAACTGAGGCATAGAAAGATAAAGTGAGACTTGCCCAGGGTCACAGAGTTGAATGATTTTTAACAGAAACCAGGAAAATAAATTTTAAAAAAGGGACACACCTATAAGGCAGGGTAGAAGTAAAAGCCTCCCTTTTTGGGACACAGCCTAGTGTAAGGTACAGTTATCCCTTCCACATTGTGGTTTCCACATTCTACATCTTGGTTTCGATGTATCACAGATTGGCATAAGAAATTACTGTAAATGGGAATTTTGGGGGAGTTTTGCAGAAGCCACAGAAAACACGCATATGAAGGCCAGCAGATGACACAGAAAAAGTTTAGAAACTCAGAAATGCATAAAATACTATACTTAACCCAAATTTTACAATAAGGTACTATAAATACCCATAAAAGAAAAAGAAAAAATTCAGACTTCTTCTCTGGTATGAAGGGAGGACCAAAAATTTTTATGCGGATTTTCCGGATTACAGGGGCACAGCACCCCTGGCCCCCTCAATGTAGAAGGAATAACTACACACCTACATTCTAGTCTTAACTTTGCCTCCAAGTCATAGTGTGAGCTTGGGCAAACTCCTTCATTTCTCTGAATCTCGGTTTCCCTATTTGTTAAATGAGGCCATTGATCCCTTCCAATTCAATTTGTCTGTGTCTCTTCTTTACAATGTGGTGAATAATTTCTTAACTATGTTGCTTCCTACAGAAGAGCTGAGTATTGCTAAGGTGCAAGAGGGTAGTCAGTTGAGTGACTGCAAAATATATGTGTCCAGTAGTTATGTCTTTGTAGAATGGCCCCTGTGTAGATCTGCTCTTTCTCAGGAAGGATTTTGGGACAGGACATCATTTTTCCCTTCCTGCCACCCTGAGTAAAGCAGTGGAGACATAAGAAAACATACACCTCTGCTGGAAGCAAGGCTGTTTTGCAGTCAGAAATAGCTCGTGTCCCCACTGCATGATATCCGGGAAAGGGAAAAATCAAAGACCATTTCAATTGGTGTGTGACTTTCTCCTTATATGAGGGGCATAGAAACAATAGTATGTTAGAGGGGGAAAGGACTAGAAATGTTGTGGTCCAAATTTCTCATTTTATACGTAACTAAAAAAGAAACAAAAAAGTAAACGATGCCCAAGGCAAGCTGTGGGCATCTGTGCACTGGGTAAGAATGTTATTTCCAATTGGCTTCTTGTTGCTCTATCCCAATATAATTCAGGTCATCTCCTTTGTAGACTCTTTATCACTCTACATAGTCAACTGAATTCAATTCAACAAACATTTATTACATGCCTACTATTTGCATGGCACTTTGGTAGGCACTGGAGATACAAAAATAAAAAGGAAACAGTTCCTGCCCTCAAGGAGCTTACATTCTACTGGGGAACTTAACATATAAACAGATAAATTTAGTGCAAGGAGAATTGAGGAGGGAGAATTCACTCACATGGTAGGAGGGAGGGAGGGAGATCAGGTAAGCCTCAACACAGGAGCTCAATCTGAGCTGAGCCTTGAAGGAAGATACAGATTCTACTAGGTGGAGGGGAGGAAATTGTATATTCCAGGCATGGGGAACAAGCCTGTGCAAAGGCACAAAGGTCGGAGATCTGAAATGTAGCATGCACAAAGGGAAGTACTATGAAATCAATCTGGAAAGGGGGAGTCAGATTATGGATGACTTTAAATGACAGACATAGGAATGTCTGTCTTATCTTGGATGCCAAAGTTATGGAAGGTTCTTTAGCAAAGGAATGACATGACCAGACTTATGTCTTAGAATATCAATTTGGCAGTTGTATGGACAGTAAATTATAAAAGGGAAAGACCAATTCAGAAGCTATGGCAATAGGCTGTAGGGGTGATGAGGGCCTTGAGTAGTGATATTCTTAATGGAACAGAGGGAACAGATGCAAGAAATATTATGCAGGTAGAGGAAAAAGACTTGGTAACTGATTAGAGGTAGGGAGTTAAGGAAGTCAGGAAAGACTCCAAGGTTGTGAACCTGTGTGACAGGAAGGATAGTGGTGGATGTAGGAAAGTAGAGGGATGTTGGGATAAGGGGAGAAAGGTGGTGAGTTCTACTTTGGACATGCTATACTCGAGATGCTGATGGGACATCCAAGTGGAGATACCTAACAGTTAGTTAGCAAATGGCGCTAGAGTTTGGGTGGGAAATTTGGGCTGGGAACACAAATTTGAATCCTCTGCATAGGGGAGGTAATGAAAACCATCTTTGCTTAGGAGAGGTCCAAGATATATATAAAAGAGAGGACAGAAAGTGGGATATGAATAATGATTAGAGACTGAGAAGGGGTGGTCAGACTGGTAGGAGAAAACCAGGAGAAGGCAGTATTCCAAAGGAAAAGAAGAATATACTGGGGAAGTAGGGGTTCAACAGTTTCACAGAGCTCTCTGCTGAGAGGTCAAATATGATGATGACTGAGAAAGGGCCATTTGATTTAGTAGAGGACACTGAGACCCTGGGCCCAAGATGTGGATAGGTGCAGGAATGGAAGCAATAATATGGATAACTCTTTCCAGGAGTCTAAATATGAAATGGAGAAGTACAGGATGATAGCGTGCATGGATGTGACAGGTCAAGTATATGTGAGATCTTGGGGATCAGGCTGCAGTTTTCTTAGCTACCTAATGAAGATGAATAAAAAACACCCACCTCCCAGCTGCTCATGTTTTTAATTCTTGGCTGTTGCTAGGCAAATAGGAGATTGAATGTTGTTCTTTGAAGTTTTGGGAATTTGTCCAAATTTTCAACCAAATGTGCCCCCACAGCCTGCTTTAGGACTGAGAGGCAATAGTTTGAGAAGAGTCTGAAATACCAGACCACAGAAACCCAGAAGGGTTTGGGGGAAGAGTGAATGGGCACATAGAATGTCTTTGTCAGCTTTGGAACTTGTTAATGGAGGCAAGTGATTGCGCTTGTAAGGTCAGTTTTACTGGGTGGCTCAGGAACCTGTGGCTTGCAAAAAGTGTCAGAAAAAATATTGTTGCCCCTATTTAACACCACCCACCAATCTCCTCCTTCCCTTGATCCCTATTCTCTTGTTCCACTTTATCTTTAAGATGAGGGAATTTTAGCTATATGGGGGCAGCAACTTTCTAGAGATGAAAATTGTTCACTCACCAACCCAATTTTCTACTAATAGGCAATAAGAAAAAGAGGCAAAACATACTGTTTTCTTTGGGAAACTGTGTGTGTGTGTGTGTGTGTGTGTGTGTGTAAAATAATTCCCCTCCCATAAAGCCCCATAGTGTTGAAGAATGTGGTTTGCTGATGGTCTGTGGGTCTTACTTAGTATCCACTACTCAATTACAAATGAAGCTAAGGTGAAAGGAGCAAACCAAGACCACAGTCTAAATGTGGGGATGTCTGATAAACATTCAAGGATTTGTTATGAGCTTTCTATTTTTTTTTAAAGTAAAAACAAGTTGGGTGGATGGGGAGAGAAAAAAGATGGATACCAGAGATGGGGCTCAAGAATATAGGCCTGTAAAATCAGGCCTGTAAAAGTTACAGGATAGCCTAGGTCTGAAGAATGTCAAATGTGACCTGAAAAGTGATGAGATGGAAATGGGCTTGGCTGAAAAGATGCTTTCTGTTCTGGGGCCTTGGGGTCTTGGGAAGAAAGGTGGGTTCTTTAGTCTCATATCGTTTTTGGGATGGTGAGGAGGGGAGGGGATAAGGGAAGCACACGGTCTCATTATGAACTACCGAATAAAGGGGAAAGTCATTTGCCACTCCCACCCTTGGCATTTTCTGGGCACAGCACGTGCACCTGCTAATTTGTATCAATAATATTTAAATCAAAGAAACATTCCAAAAGCAACCCAGATTAGAAACAATTGGGAAGAAATTATTGATTGCTAAAGCTGTTGGGGCTTCGCCAATTGCCTTAGATAAGAAAGAATTAGAAAGTAAGAAGTAGATCAAAAATCTGGAGTCAAAACTGATTACTGAATAAGGGCACATGCTGTTTTCCAAAGTCATCCATGATTCCCACTGTGAATCCAAATGGGAGTATCTGGAAGAATGTCGGTTTCATAAGGCAAGTAAACAACATTAACCTGGGGTTATCTCATAGAAGTCAGACCTGTGAAAAGTGAAAACTAAACCATATGATGGAAGCCCTAGAGTTGCAAAACGCTTTTTTATAAAAGAAAAGTAACACTTTAAAAAAGTATCTTTATGTGTATTATATGGCCTTGGCTAGGTTTATGAGTTTTTTAAACTGTTAATGGACTATGTTCAATACAATCTACTTCATATCCATAAAGTACAGTCAACAAAAATTCCAACGTGAATGAACCTCAAAAAACTAGGAAGTAACTAAAATTATTAAAAAAGTCATATTACAATTAAATCAATGCATCTTAACAAAATAAAACATTTCCCCCTCAAATTTGTACGCAAAAGAGTAAATATCCATCCATTCCTGAAGTTTTAAAGCTTTTTAGTCTATTTGGTGCATCATAGTTATCAAAAGAATGGAGAGGAATTAGACAAAAGTATTTGGTGGATTTGAATTAATGGGCCAAGCAAGCTTTTTTCCCTTGGCTTCCCTGTCAAATGAGTCATATATTGAGTCTTTGGTTACAGTTTTGGCTGTGACAGGGACATCTGAAATGCCAACATAATTTTTTTTGGCCACCCTTGAACTGGTTGTGATAGTATAGGCATTGCTTCGGTAGCATTTCATTGAGGACATACAAAAAGTCTCCTTCATCCCTCTCCTGAAGTTGGCATTGTAAATGGAATATAAGGTAGGCTTGGAGGCTGAGGAGCTGAATGATATCCAAGTGATCACTGTGAAAACCAAGGAACTTTTCCTATAGTCTCTTTCATGGGGATGCCATAGCTGGATCACATGAAAAGGAAGCCAAGAGAGCAAAAATATTAGATTCAACATCAGGAACATTTTGATAGTTTTCACTTTTGTCCTTGGAACGATGTTCATCGTCCTCTTCACCGTTCGACTGTCAATGCCTATCCTCCAAATATATTTGATGACCTTCTGGTAGAATATGATGATGAAGAATGATGGAATCACAAAACCCACCAGAAAATGAATAATACTATAGACAGTCCCATCCCAAGAATAAGGGAGGAAAAAATTACAGTGATGATCCCAACTGGAGCCATAGAAAAAGAATATAGGGGACATAAAGGCAGCGTTAAAGATCCAAGATGCTGCAATCATTTTCTTGGCTTTTTCTCTGGACACCTTGAAGCTCAGAGGGTAGACTATGGTATAGAACCTGTCTATACAGATGGAAAGGAGCACATAGATCTGTACCCCTGGTGTGAGGTGTTGAAAGTATCTTACTAGTTTACACATGACACTACCCAGGGTCCACCTACCAGATGTAAACTGCAGTAACACAAAAGGAGCACTAGCCACACTGATGAGGAGGTCAGCACATGCTAATGAAACCACGAAGTAGTTGGTGGTGGACTGAGTCCTCCTGCTCCTATGGATGACCAAGCAAACCAGAGCATTTCCAAAGACAGAAAACAACCACAGAATCCCAAAAATCACGCTGACTGTGGCGATTTCTCCCGGCATTGGTTCATATGCTAAATTGGTGTCGTTTCTTTCCAGTTTGTGTTCCTTGTATAATTCTGTCATATCACGACCTATCAGAGGCATCGATGTCTTGGGGTGGCTGTTGTTCTGAAGTGGCACCAGGACTGTTGAGATAACCAGAGGAAGTCTGCTGTTGTCCACTGCATGACCAAGACCCATGTCCATTCTTTCTCCCTCAACTCTGAATAAGAGAAGAAAGAAGCCTGTTGTTAAAATAGAGACATGTGTCTTGACTACTAGTGATAGTAATCTACAGTAAAAAAATAGTTTGGTTGGCTGCCATCATGCCATGAGTGATAGAACTTCATGTTGGTTGGTTGCTAGGGTGACTCTGGGCTGAAAATGACGACTATGTGGGAGAAACTTCTTCCATTTGAGGGCTGACATTAAGAATTTGCTCTGGTCTCCAACACTCAGTGACCTTAAGAGCTTTCTTTCCCTCACATGTGGGCCTCAGACCCCACTTCACCTTCCTGAAGCTGTTGTTGTTGTTTATCTCTCATTCTTTTTTTGGGGGGGGTAAGGCGATCGAGGTTAAGTGACTTGCTCAAGGTCATACAACTAATTAAGTGTTAAGTGTCTGAGGCTGTATTTGAACTCAGGTCCTCCTGTCTCCAAGGACAGAGCTCTATTCACTGCACCACCTAGCTGCCCCTCACTTTTCATTCTTAAAGAGGACCAATGACATCATGAGGGTGATGTCTTGACTAGTGACAGGGAGAAAGGTTTCTAAGAGATGCCGGTAGCCCTACTCTTTGGAATTCCTTCCTATTTTCTTTTCATTGGAATTTTGAGGTCAGAGAGAGCCTGACAACAAAAAATAAACTGGCTATATAGCGAGGGTATTTTCATGATTTGAGAAGGTGCAGGAATTCTGGGCAAGTATGTATAATATTCTTGAATGTCCTAACATGGAAGCATTGCGGTGGTAAAAAGAGAAAACTTGGGCAGATGGAATTATGTAAATGTCACTTTGGAAAAATGCAAGAGCAATCAGAGCATCTGGCAAACATAAATCATGATGTCCTTAATTGTTGAAGTATTCTAGATATGAGACACTCACAGTCTGGCTGGTACATTGAGTATGTGAAAGAGAATAAGGTGAAATAAAGTTGGAAAGCTAAAATGCAAATAAAATGTAAGCCACTTGAGGGAAGGACTAGCTTGTGTTTTTGTATCCTCCAGTACCCATCAATGCTTTGCATATAGTAGCCCACTCAATAAATGTTTCTTGAACTGAACTGGAGGGTACATTGGGGCCAAATTATCAAGGGCCTTCAGTGTCAGGATCAGGTCCTGATATAGTTTTCAGTGGACCCGAAAGTCCACTAGAGTCCATAGGCAAATATAGACTAATACCATGCTTATTGACTAATGGAATTATTTTGAAGAAAAATAATAATAATGGGGCAGCTAGATGGCTCAGTGGATAGAGCACTGGCCCTGCAGTCAGGAGGACCTGAGTTCAAATCCAGCCTCAGACACTTAACAAATCTATTGAGAAGATTTTCATCAAGCAAAATCTGCCTCTCTTCTTCAATCAATTCCTGCTAACCCCGCTTCTCTGGGTTCAAGAAAAACCATTGTGATCCCTAATCTAAATGACAGCCCTTCAGATATTTGAAGAGCTGTTTAATATCCTTCCTCTAAATATTTTCTTCTCTAGGTTAAACATCCATTAATTTTTATTTTTTGGTGAGGCAATCAGGATTAAGTGATTTGCTTGTAGTCACACAGCTAGATCCATTGATTGGTTTTTTGTTTTTTGGTTAGGCAGTGGGGTTAAGTGACTTGCCCAGGGTCATACAGCTAGTAAGCATTATGCGTCTGAGGCCGGATTTGAACTTAGGTCCTCCTGAATCCAGAGCCAGTACTCTTATCTACTGTGCCACCTAGCTGTCCATAGGTACATTAATTGTTGATTAAACTTTCTGTGACATCCTGAGAGGCAGCCTGGAAGATGGATATAGTTGGACCTGGACTCAAACCTTGCCTGTATTGTTTACTAGTTATGTGACAATGTGCAAGTCACTTAATGTGTCTGAATCTCAGTTTCTTCATCTATAAAATGGGGATAAGGGACTTCCTGCCAGGATGGCTGCCTGAATAGAGGCAGACTACAAGGCTCCCACATATCTACCCTAGTAAAAACCTGAAATTCACAATAAATAATGATTAAGAAACCCAATGAGAAACAACAAGAAATGATTTCTTCCACCCTAAGGACAATATAAAAACTCAGCCAGAAGCCCACAGATGTTAGGAAAGGTGGTTATCAGCAAAGCCAGTGCTTCATAAAGGCAAAGAAATGTGTAGCTTCCCAACATGGGTAGAAGCTGGCCAACATCACATGTAGCTTGCAGGGTTCTTGACCTGGAGACAGCAAGATAAGGGAACTTTCCCCACCCAAGTCCCATGGTCATCGTAAACCCATAGTGGGGGTCTTTGGAAGCTCTGGAGAGCAGCATAAATCTAGAAAGATATATTTATATGGGCAATTGGGAGGGGCTGGGTAATGATGTAGGACTAAAAGGAGAGGAGAAACAAGTGTCTCTTCAGAGCCTAATGAATTCAAAAGTTATTAAGGGAATCAAAAAGGAAAAACAGAGTACCAGGGGATGAATTGGTTCTGTTCTGAATTTTAAGAGGGGAAAGAGAAAAGAGAGTAAAAGGAATCTACATTTTGCAGTTGACAGATTGTCAAGGAATATGAAAAAACAGTTTTCAAAGGAAGAAATCCAAGCTATTAACAGCTATATAAAAAAATGCTCTAAATCACTGATAATTAAAAAAATATAAATTAAAACAACTCTGAGGTTATCACCTCATACCCATTAGATTGGGTAAGTTGGCAAAAAATGGAAAATGACCAATGCCAAAGGGGATGCAGGAAAGTAGATATATTAATGCATTGGAAACTGGTCCAATCATTCTGAAAAGCAGTTTGGAACTATATCCCCAAAGCTATTAATTAGCTATTAATTAAGCCCAAAGGGCTATAAAACTCTGCATATCCTTTAACCCAGCATATCACTACTAAGTCTATACCTCAAAGTGATGAAAGAAAGAGGAAAAGGACCTATATGTAAAAAAAATTGTAGCAACTTTTTGTAGTGCCAAAGAATTGGAAACTAAGAGGGTATCCTTTAACTGGGGAATGACTGAACAAGTTATGGTATGTGAAGGTGATGGAATATTACGGTGCTATAAGAAATGATGGAGGGGGTGCAGCGAGGTGGCGCGGTGGATAGAGTACCAACTCTGAAGTTAGGAGGACCTGAGTTCAAATCTGCTCTCAGACCAAACACTTGACACTTAACTAGCTGTGTGACCCTGGGCAAGTCACTTAACCCCCAATTGCCAAAAAGAAAAAAAAAGAAATGATGGAGGAGATGGTTTTAAAATAACATAGAAAGACTTGTATGAACTGAAGCAAAGTGAAGTGCTCAAACCCAGGAGAACAATTTATATAATAACAACAATATTGTAAAGACAACTGTGAAAGACTTGGGAACTTTGATAAGCAAAATGACCAAACACAATTCCAGAGAACTCAAGATGAAATATGCTATCCATCTCCAGATAGAGAAGTGACGGACTCAGAGTATAGGTTGAAGCTCATGTCTTTTGAGATATGGTTCATGCAAGAATTTGTTTTGTTTGACTACACATGTTTATAACAGGTTTTGTTTTTTCTTGTTTTCTCAATGAGGGAGGAACAGAGGGAAAAAGGAGGGAAAGAATTAGAACCTGAATATAAGATAAAATTGAATTAAAAAAATTAAATCCTTGTTAATCTGGAAAAAAATGAAAAAGAAAAATTTTTACAGAATTTACTATTGTAGAAAGGAAGGAGTTGGAACTTGCTATCTCTCTTATTCATGAGGAGAAGAGTTTACAAACATCGAAGGAATAGAGTGGGGGAGAAGTTCTCTGATGAACCTCACGTTTATGTGAAATAGGCAAAGGAAGGTTAAACAAACACACAAATAATTTAGTGTAGCAATACAGCAGACTCAACAGGGAACAAACCAGGATGAAGAGGTAGTGTTGGTCATTAAGAGAGGATAATACAGGGTAGGGAAGGGTCAAAAGCAAACCCTTCCTGATCTTGAAGGGAGATTAAAAAGAAAAAAAGAAAAGAAAAGAAATACAATTATAGGGGATACCCAGCAATTGGGGAATAGCTGAACAAACTGGAAATGTTGGTATGGGAATGTAATAGAATATTATTGCACCATGAATAACTCTGAAAGAGATGATTTCAGAATGAGCAGAACCAGGAGAACCATTTATACAAAGACAACAACACTGTAAAGAAAAAAAAAATCTTTGCAAGACTTAAGAACTCCGTTTAGTTTAATGATCAACTGTTTCTCCAAAAGACCTATGATAGCATCTTGCTCACTTCTTGAGTGAGACGTGTTGGACTCTAGGTGCAGAAAGAGACACATATTTTTGGACATGGCCACTGTGTGGATGCATTTTGCTTGACTCTACTTAGTTGTCACAAGGTTTTTTTTTTCTTTTTCTTTTCTAGGCTTCTTCATTGGGGAGGGTAATTGGGGAAGGGGGTTGTTAGTAATAGGTCGAAAAGGACCACTGCAGAATTTTTAAAAATTCACAGATAAGAAGAGAAGCCTGGCACTTAAAAAAAAAGCAAGTGGTATGAAACAGTGATTCACTGTTTCATATGCCTTTTTGTGTGATCTGCTGTGTATTAGAAATACTCCACTGAATGGAAAAGGACCAGTTACAGGGTTCCATGGAATTCCACTAGAGTTCTTTAAAGAGGTTGACATGAAGCAGCCACGTTATGCAATGACTAAGAATGTTAAACTGAACCCTTCTCAGCATTACGAGGATCTAAGACGTCTCCAGAGGCCTCGGGAAGGAAAATGCTGTTCACATCCAAAGAAAGAACTATGGAAGTCGAATCACTATCACTTATTTTTACCTTCTGTTGAGTTTTGTTTCATCTTTCTGATGGTTCCTCCTATTGGTTTTAATTTTTACTTACAACTTCACTAATGTGAAAATATGTTTAATGGGTATGTAAATGTAAAGCCTATGTCAGATTGTGCGCCATCTTGGGGAGGGTGGGGGGGAGAAAATGGGAGGAAAATTTTCAACTCAAAAGCATATGAAAAAAAAATTTAAAAAAGAGGCTGACATGAATCCATTAATTACCATTCTTTGAGTCCAGTCACTGAACCAATTCCATATCCACCAGACTATACGATAATTTAGCCCACACCTTTCCATCCTGTCCACATGAAAGACTTCATCAAATGCCATGATGAAATCCAGGTTTACTACGCCTATGGAATTTTCTTGATCTTCCCATCTAGTAATCCTGTTTAAAAAGAAAGAAAGGAAGAAAGAAAGAAAGAAATGAAGTTAGTCTGACATGACTTACTGGTTTTTTAACACTTCCCTTTTTGTATGTTTGCAATCTGTCCTTATAAAATACATTTTAGAATTTTGTAAGTAATCAAGGTCAAGGTTGCTGGCTTATGGAATGCTGGGCCTAGAAGACCCAAATTCAAATCTGATCTCAGACACTTACTAGCTGTGTGATCCTGGGCAAGTCACTTTAACTCTCTCAGTTTACTCAACAGTAAAATGGGGATAATAAGAGGATCAAATAAGATAATATTTCTAAAAACACTTAGCGCAGTGCCTGGCACACAGCAGAAACTTAATAAATGCTTGTTCCCTTCCCCTTCCCCTTATAGTCTGAAAAATCTGCTATCTTTCTTCTCTTGAAAACTCAGCTTTCCCATCTTTAGTATCAAAGCACCTCTTTTATACTCTAGAAATTTTCCTATTCACAAGTCTCCTTCATATGCTGTATTGTAGCTTGTGTGGGTCTCATGACATGTGTCCTTACAGAATTGTGGCTTCTCAGAGTTGGAAGGCACCTCAGAGATCATCTACTCTCACACATACCTGAGTGAACCTCTATATAACATGAACTGATTTTCCACCTTGAAGGCCTCCAGATAGGGGGAATCTGTTGTCACCTAAGTCAGCCCATTCCACTTGTGGATAGTGCTAATATTAGGTCCTTTGCTTTATGTAGCACTTGGGGACACTCCCTTAACTCAAAGTGGGGCCTTCCAGACGAGGCTACCCTCAGTTTCATATTCTCTGTGGGTCCAAACTCACTAAAAACCATAGTTTAGAAGTTCTCATCAATTTGTACACCTTTATGAGTCAACAAAGGCAGGTAGGTGGCTCAGTAGAGTGCCTGACGTGGAGTCGGGAAGACTCATATCCCTGGGTTCAAATGCAGCCTCACACACTTTTTAGCTGTGTGACCCTGGGCAAGTCACTTAACCCTGTTTGCCTTAGTTTCCTCATCTGTAAGATAAGCTGGAGAAGGAAATGGCAACCCACTCCAGTATCTTTGCCAAGAAAATCCCAAATGGGATCATGAAAAGTCAGACATGACTGAAAAACGACTGAGTGACAAAAACAAAAATTAGCAAGAGTACATAATTAATTGAAAGCAAAGACATAATGAAATAACATAGTAAGAAAAGTATCAATAGATCATTTTCCTCATAAACTTAGAGAATACTCTCTCTCTCTCTCCCTCCCTCCCTTTCTCTGTCTGTCTGTCTGTCTCTCTCCTGCAAATATGCTTACTATTAATGGGAAGAGTGGATGTGCATAGGGAAAATATGTGGCCAGATTCAATACATGGATAAGCAATTCATGCCTCTGATCCTGCAGGGCCCTCAATATCTTCTAGTGAGGTCATCAAACTGGTCCCCAAGAGGCTTGTTCCCTTTGTCCTTTACCTTTTTATCAACAGGCCATTCACTGACCATTTTCCATCACCTTCTCAAATAATGAAGCACAGTATCAGGAGCAGTTAGGATTATTTCTTTAACCAGTTGGCATTGGTATTAATAAATGTTTGTACATAAAGTATAAACAAAACCTTAAAGAAGAGAAAGACTCTGTAACAACTCTCTCTGGGAGAGAAAGCAAGAAGATGAGGGGAAGAGAGAGAGAGGAAAGCATCATTATTATCATCTCTCTCAGTTGAAGTAAGCATGACACTGCATATTGTTTTTCTGTTTCTGTTTATTTCACTCAGCTATCCCATGCTTTTCTGTGTCATATTCATTATTTCTTGTAACATAATAATCTATTATATTCATGTGCCACAATTTGTTTAATCATTATCCAAAGGTTATCTACTTTGTTTCTGATTCTTTGCTACTATAAAAAGTATTATTATAAATATTTTGTTGCATATGGGACCTTTCCTTTTATCACTGACCTGTTTAGGATATGTGTCTACCAATGGAAACTGTGTCGAAAGGTAAAGACATTAATAGTCACTTTTTAATTCATAGCTCCATCAACAATGCATTAATGTGCTTATCTTTCCACAACCCCTCTCACATTGTGTTATATATATATACATATATATATATATATTTTTTTTTTGTCATTTTTGTCAATTTTCTGGTTTTAAGGTAAAAAACTTCAGGGTTGTTTTGATTTGCATTTCTCTTACTATGATTTGGAGCATTCTTTCATATGATTGTTAGTATGTGCAATTCTTTTGAGAACTGTTTGTTCATATACTTTGACCCATTTATCTAACGGGGAATGGCTTTTGCTTTCTCTCTCTCTCTCTCTCTCTCTCTCTCTCTCTCTCTCTCTCTCTCTCTCTCTCACACACACACACACACACACACACAAATACATACATATTAATTGTACATATCTTGGATACCAACCCTTATCAAAGGTATTTGATATAAAATTTTTCTCCCAGTTAACCATTTTCTTTCTTATTCAATGCATTAATTTTGTTTCTGTAAAAAACTTTTTAATCAATTAAGAAGCATTTATTAAGTGCTTACTATAGTCATGTGGGGATTCAAAGAAAAAGCAAAACCATTCCCTGCCCTAAAGGACTTTATGGGAAAAATAACATGTACATAAATAGGTGAAGACAAGATAAATATAAAGAAGGGAGATGATAGCTTAGGGGAAAAGGTGATAGCAGCTACAGATACCAGAAAAGGTGTCTTGGAAGAAATGATTATAGATGTGGGTTTTAAAGGAAGCCTGGGATTCTAAGAGGCAGAAGTGGGAGCATTTCAGGAATCAGGGAGAGTCACAGTACAAAGGAATTAAAATTTGAGATGGAGTGCTGTGTGAGGAATAGCAAATAGGATAGCAGGATAATTAAATTCCAAGCAATCGAAATTGTCTGTTGTATCTTTTGTGGTTTCTTTTTTTGGCTAAAAATTCACCTGCAGCCCCCCACCCCAGACACTAATGCATTGCTGGTGGGCTTGTGAACTGACCCAGCCATTCTGGAGAACAATTTGGAACTATACCTAAAGGGCTCTAAAACATGCATATCCTTTGACCCAGCTATACCACCACTAGATCTGTATCCCAAAGAGATCATAAAAAAGGGAAAAGGACCTACATGTGCAAAAATATTAATAGCAGCTCTTTTTTTGTGGTGGCAAAGAATTGGAAATTGGAGGCATGCCCATCAATTGGGGAATGGCTGAACAAGTTGTGGTGTATGAATGTAATGGAATACTATTGTGCTATAAGAAATGATGAGCTGGTGGATTTCAGAAAACCCTGAAAACACATGAACTAATGCTGAGTGAAATGAGCAGAACCAGGAGAACATTGTACACAATATCAGCAACATTGTGTGATGATCAGCTATGACTGACTTAGCTCTTCTCAGCAATACAGTTATCTAAGACAATTCCAAAAGACTCATGATGAAAAATGCTATCCATATCCAGAGAAAGAGCTGATGGAGTCTGAATGCAGATTGAAGCATATGATTTTAATTTTCTTTGGGGTTTTTTTTTGTGTATTTTTTTCCTTTTGCTCTGTTTCTTCTTTTTAAAACATGACCAATGTTGAAATATGTTTTACATGATTGCACATATATAACCTATATCAGATTGCTTGCTATCTTGGGGAGGGGAAAAGAAAATGAAGACGGGAAAAAAATCTGGAACTCAAAAATCATATAAAAATGAATTTTGAAAATTATCTTTACATATAATTGGAAAAAATAAAATACTATTTACATTAAAAAATAAATCTGTTTCTCTTGAATATTGGTGTGGCCTTGAATCATCATATTTCATTCATGACTTTCATTCTTCTAAATCTCGGTGATACCTACGAGACTGAATTTTCTTATATTCTATACATTGTGTATAGGTATCTTAAATGGTTAGAATTAAAAAGTCTGGCTCTGGAGTCAGATGATCTGGGTTTAAATCCAGCTTCTGATGCTATCTCTGTGACCTTAGGTAAGTCACTTGATTTTGGACTTTAGTACTTCATTTTATCTGATGGTGGGGCAGTGAACTATAAAGCCTTTAAAGTACCTTCTATCACTAGATCTATGACACTACGAACTTTATGAACCTCTTTCCAGAATAGTTTCCTTTAGATTCTGGAGTAGTCAGATAATAAAAAACAAAATATATAACAATAAATTTTGCTATTATAAAAAGTGTCATAACTTAATCCCTTACTCCATTCTAATGGAAGTATTACAAACATTTAATCCTTCAATTGTTATTCTACCTGTATATGATTTTTGCAATATGTGATGAGCAAATGTAATAATACTATTTTGCATTTTTTAGACTGGAGAAAGGATTCTAAAATTTGGGGCAAAATTGTAAAGTAGAAGCCATTTCACAATTGATTACCCCTAATACCAAAAAGCCTCTACCTGATTAAAATTTTTAAATGGATTTGATTTGGGGAAGAAGCAATTGAATAATGAAATTTGAGCTGGTTCTACATGTAACACTCATGGAGACACAAGGGGAAACTAATGATTAAATCTATGCTAGGAGAAGAGATGAAGGGCAGTGGAACAGAACTAGATTAGTCTTATGATAAATCACATTTGCAACATTCACATTCCTTTTCTTTCATCATTGACTTCTTTATATCTTACATAGAGAAAGGTTGCTGTTCTTTGTCCTTCTTTCTTGAAGAGGACCATGGCATCAGGAAGGTGATACCATGACTTGCAAATGAACTGGATTTAAGTGAGGGAGGGCTGTGAGCCATCTGGGTCCAGTGGCAAGATATAAATCAGGACAGCTAGAGATGGCCCCCACAGAAGAAGGTAGAGAGGGGAAAAAAAAGAAAGGGAAAGTATAAGACAATAGGATCAAAGGAAATACACAATTAAGCATCATAACTATGAATGTGGATAGGATTAACTTACTTATAAAGTAGATGAGAATAGCAAAATGAATGAGAAAAGAAACAAAACACACTGGAAACCTAGAATTACTCATAGAGCTAAAATAAGGGGCT